TCTCTATTAAGGTAGCGCGACTCAGGGTTGCGAATGACCACAGTCACCAATTCTTGTCATGTGTCTTCCCCATGTATGTCTGATCTCTGAACTGTGTGTACTGAAACTGTAATTTCCCTCTGGGATTAATAAAGTATCTTTGAATTGATTTGATTTGAAACACAAGGGATGTGAATCTTAGAGCAACTCACGATTTGATTCGATTCCAATTCTCGGGGTGCCGATTCGATTCAGAATCGATACTCGATTCTCTATTTAAATCGATTCACACTCAGTATTAACAAAGAGTGTCAACTCCAGGATGAACTACTTTGTTGTACAAGTTAGTTAAAGATATGGGACATTTTTATTTGACTTTAAACTGGTCGTGCTCCAAAAATGCTAATTTACAATGTAAAATAAAGTGATTCTAAAACTGTAAACAGAAACAATCTTTTTACCAAGAGGCAGCATTTATTTTTGCTTACCTTGTAAAATATAACACATCTGTAGTTACCTAACAGTAGCTTTGAAAGTAATACGGTCAAATACTTTTCAAGTATGTGTGGAAACAAGTTACATGAGTAATCCTGAGTACTCATTTATCAACTTAGAAAATAAATATGAGAATATCTCTAATGTCTGAGTATGGAAAAAATGACATTCAAGTGCCCTCTTATCAGCAGATTCAAACATAAGTCATCTCAATTTATGGGACCACAAAAGTAATCGGAGTACTGACTCTCCTAACGAAGATCAAAAAAGTGCATCTCAAACCTGTAACGTGCCAAATATTTGAGTTCTTGGAATCGATTCTGAACCTTTGTGAATCGATTCAGATTCTTCATAAATAAGAATCCCGATTCAGACTTGAATCGATTTTGTTCAGCACCTCTAATAAACACTTTCAGCTCCTGTCTTAATTAGACTCAAGGAAAAAACAAAACAACTGGAGCTCCGGTCTCATCTGGAGGATACTAAACACATTTCCACAGTTTTAACCACGATGATGGAATCAGTAAAAACCCACAGCAGGTCATTGACCTTTACAAATGTCACACTCCAGTGGTTCTTTTATGTTCCTCAGAAATGTCTCAATGTACCAGCTGCACAGGAAACTGCTCTCCATTAAACCTTGAGCTTTTCAAATCAAGTTCAACTGTTTCTAATCAGAAATCAATTTTGATTTAACTTGATTAATCTGGGAATGTCTGAGTATTATTGTAGGTCCAAAAGTTGTAATTGAAGCTTTAGTAGTTTGAAGTAGATGGTGTACATGTGAGAATAAATGTGATTAGTGTGAGATATTTGGACTTAGGAGTGGTTGAAGCGCTCTCTGCAGAAACGGCTGTGCACAGCAAGAAGTTTAAAGTAAAAAATCGATGCACTTTAAGTGAGCTGAAAGCCTGCAGAGAGTGTTTGGGCAAAGGCGGAGTTTTTTTATTGTGCTTGTAAAGAGGCTAGTCGCTGAAGAGGAGCTGCCGGGGCCACGATCAAGACTCGGCATGTTTAGAAAGGTCATTTGTAAATGTGCTATTCTCCACAGAAACAGTAGAGGGTGCTAAAAGTGACTTTATTCACAAGTAGGGTTGTCACGATACTAAAATTTCAAACTCGATTCGATACTTGAAAAAAAAACTCGATACTCGATTTCGATACTATTTGAAAACACCCATTTATCGAACAAGTTTATTCAAAAAATAACATTCCTCAATTTATATTACAAAAATTAAATGTTAAGAATTAAATGTATTAAGTGCTTAAACCTTTCAAGTATCAGCATTTTTTAAAACGTGCATACAAAAACTGGTGAAAGTTAACACTTTAAATCATGAGTTGTCTCACTATATAGACACTATTTGCAGAGTGATGTTTTGCTGCTTAAACTCTGTTTAAGGTGCATTTTTGTCATAAGATGTAATGCCATATGTTTTGTTCTGTACTTTTGAACAACTCTGTTGGTCAATAAAGGGAGAAAACGAATTTCTCCACAGTAGGACAAAGGTACATCTACCGGTAATCTTAATAAAAACAGACTGGCGCACGGCAGTGACGTCATTAAAAGCGCCGGTTAGATTAGCCGCAGCTAGTCTGTTTACACCTAGAAATCCCAGACTCGCTCCAAACGAACAGGGGAATCACGTTAATGATTCCTAACAAAACCTTTCGACATGAAGATGTTTTGGTGCAGATAATGTCTTATTTCGAGGCTGCACCATGGGTGCCCGTCCGCACCCGTTATATGGATATACGCTGACGGCGATTCGCCGATGGATCTACGGTAAATACCCCGGGGAATCCAAGTAGCACCAAAGTTGTCAGCGTGAGTAAACAAACGTACTGCATGCTAGAAATTGAGTCCGGGTTGCAATAAACGGGAGTTTCCTTTAAGCACATAAGCGTGAATATACAACTACGTGTCGGACTTGGTATGCTAATTAAGTTGGGCTGTGAAGCGCCTCCCAAATTCGCTGTTTATGTTTTTGTTTATTTATTTGGCAGACAAAACTTGGATCAGAGACAACTCGCGTGGGAAATTGCTTTGTAGCCATGCGGCATCTTCTTCTTCTGTTTGTCTGGGAGGCGGAGGCTGCTTTACGGCATCTGGCTGTCGTGCGTGTCGGTGTACTTGAAGAAGGCTGTGTATAATAGTCCATAATATCGATACCACAGGGATGGAATATCTCATTTAGATACCACTTTTAGTATCGATTTATATCTGGGTATCGATTTTTTTGACAACACTATTCACAAGTCACAAAGTAAATAAAAAAAAAATATATATATATATAAATATATATATATATATATGTGTATATACATAATATATATGTATATACCCTATACCCTATACATATACATGAGTTTTCCCAGTTTGTTTGGAAGTAATGCATTACTCTGTAACTAACAGAGGTAGGTAGATTGGCCCAAAATGTGCTCGAGTAAGATAACATTACTTCAAAATAAAGTAACTCAAGTAAAATACGTGAAACATCTTGTAACAACACTACAAGGGTAGCACGCTCATTGTACAGGTGTGTGTGTGTGTGTGTGTGTGTGTGTGTGTGTGTGTGTGTGTGTGCGTGCGTGCGTGCGTGTGTGTGTGCATGACTATGTGTGTGCGTGTGTGTGTTAGTTAAGACTCGTCTCTCATGGGCTCAAGCTCATTAAAACATATTACTGTTCTAGCTACAAAACCTAAGAACCTACTTTGGTTTGCAGCCTGTAGTTGGAGTGAATGAAGTGCACGCACACACACACACACACACACACACACACACACACACACACACAATGAATAGATGTAGAATCTCGTATTAAGCGACAGCAAATGAAGCTGTTCTTTTTAAAGGGACGTTGTCTGCAACTGTGAACTAGTTTATATTCAAATCCTCACTTGGCATTCCCGTACGGTCTCCCTCCGTCTCCACGATTTATTTCACTTCACTCAGCTTTATTGGTGACACAGCTTCAGCAGGATTGCCAAACATCTGAATGCCAGTGGATTAAATAATTGAACGTGAATTGTCTCATAAACATCAAACGTTCTGATCTGAAGGCAGCTGAATTGGATAAGTTGTGCAGAATGCTTTGAGGTCGAACAAATGCCAACTGTGAAAAATATGATATAATAACCTAATATTGGAAATGTGGCAAGGTAGAAAAACAAGGGCGCGGGCAGGATTCGATCCCCAGACTCCCAGGTGACTGTCATGCCTGCTAACCAGTCAGCCAAAGGGACATCCCCATGGCCAAGTAGCCAGGGCGCATGATCAATCGGGTCACAGTGACAGGATGCTCACACTGTCACCGAAACGTTACCACAACCAAAATGTTAAACCTCCTGTGCATTCATGCATCAGTTAGTGTAAGGGAGATTTTTTTCAGTTATTATATCAATTAATGGCAGAAACCTTTTGAAAAGGTAGAAAATAGAGAAATTTCATCTGCATCTTTTAATGTTAAAGCAGGTGGAAGAAGTCGTCCTGCAGAAAAACACCATCAAACTTAGATCCGTCATGCTGATAATAAATGTTGTCTTATATTTTCTGGTGGTTTGTAAATCAGTAACTTTGTAATGTAGCTTGATTATTTGGTGCTCGGGGATCAGAGTCACTTATTAACGCAGCAAGATTCGTAAATTTAACTTACCGCCATCTTTGTGTTCTCAGAAATTTCAGATTTACTGCCCTACTTTTGGCAGAGTTAAAAAGCATTTGTGTCATTTTAAAAGCAATATTCACCCCAACTTTTTTGCCATTTTTGTGCCAGAAAAACTTTAAGAGAGAAGAAGGGACAGAGAGACATTTTTTTCTACTGTTAAATCAACACAGAGCAGTTTCCTGCTCCTCCCCTACTGGTTGAAAGTGGAATTACAACGGTTGTAAACAACCCTGCTGCAACTAGCGCCACTAATGATCTAACACTAACATGAGCCAACTAATACTAAAATAACAACGAAGTAAAAAGATCCACACTGTTGGACGAAAAATATTATGACTTACAAGTCCAATAGCAACAAATCCAGGTCTCTATCAGTCTGTGATTATAGCCTTCTTTAGCTCCCTTGAGCTAGCGTAGTCGCACCGATGTTCGCTCTGGTTTTAGCTCTTTGCTTCACCTCCAAAGACATTACTCTCTTACTTTTACTTGCAGCCTCCGCCATAATGCCACCAGAAAAAGCAAACGTCTTCTTCCTTTTGTGCTATTTATTGACGACTGGTGAACTGAAAATGCTTACCGCTAGCATTACAGCTAACAGCCATAAAGCAAGAGCGCCCCCGGGACACCTATCTGCTTCCAAAAATCAAGTGTGGTTTTTGGTCAGCAGAAGGCTGCAGGGTGGTGTCAAATATGAAACTGGTCAAGTTTCTACCCAGTCACTGAGATCCAGGTTAAAGCTCTAGCTTAAAGTTAAAAAAAAAAAACGTTCTGTTGTTATTTTAATAATTGTACTTGATATGTGTTTACACTGTAAATTTGATTCTTCCGTGATGGTGGATGTGTGTTGTGTCCTCCAGGGTGGAGCCATCCAGAACATGGAGTCTCAGCGCTGTCTGGAGCTGGTGGAGAGCCGACAGTCGGAGTTCACGTTCCAGCTGGCCATTCAGGACTGCACTGGTCAGAAATGGACCATCACAAACATTTTGACTGTCCTGCCACAGTGACCCCTGAGTGATGAGTCATGATGCACATTTTTAAAATAGCATTTCAGTCCAGATTGAACTGGGCTTTACCTGCAAAAACAGCTTCAGTGCTGCACCAGTGTTTAAGTCAAAGCTGCACTGGAAAACCAGTAACCCCCGGCAACCATCTTACTGCAATGACCCGACGCTCACAGATGGAGCACCCACTCTTAAATCTTCCCACCCTGCAATCAGAAGGAGGAAAATGAGGTTTGTGTTGGGAGGGGAAGTCTCATGAAGTCTGGTCCTGCGATGTCTTTTGGGTTCCCTGTGTGCTTTTTAAGATGCTGCACCATCCCCATAACAGATGGGGCCATATAAAGGGCGGCGTTCCAGAGAACCAGGCATTACAAGCAAAGCAGCTCGTTTGTTGCACAAAAATTACAAAACAAAAAAGCCCAAATTGTTTTCATTATCGGATCTTGTTTGTTTTAAGAGTAAAGGCGGCATAGGCGCTGTGCGTTTCCCTCATCTATCACCAGGCGGCGATGAAGTGTAATGGAGAGAAACCGTGGGATGCTTTAAACTCGCGCCGTAATGGAAACTCCGCCCTGAAGTTTCAGAGTGTGCTTCGGAGCTTAATGGATCTGAAGCAAAGCCGTTGATCATTTAAGCAGGTGCCATCATATATGTTCACACGGAGACAAAATGGGAGATACCTCAGAGAAAAAAAGGTTTAAATGTACTCCGGCCTCGTTGAGAGTTCCATCTACTAAAACCAAACCTGGAAAGTTGCCTTTTAGATCTTTGAATTTTCATTTTGCTTTTTCATTTTTAGCCCCAAAACTAAGAATCAGTCCTTTAGGAAGTCTGATAGGAGTCAGAGTCACGGGTTTGAGAAGAAGTCCGGGTCGTGTTTCCTGTAGCTTCTGCAGAGGAAATTCCTCACACTGAGAAAGAAATCCGGAAAGGGCTGCGTATTATTTCTGCTGCACGTTCGGGTGGAGCTGGAGCTACTCTGATCCTTTATGAGCAAAACAAACCCAGACTAGTGTAAACATAACCATGAAAGCAAAATTAACCCACGGACGTTTGGATATTCTGGGTTTTTATTACTCATTTACCTGATTTTCACATGAATTTAACAGAACATGGATCTAAGAGATGAATAAAGAATGACGAAAACAAAACATTAAAGTAATGAAACAACTTTAAAATATCAGTTTTAAAACAATTTATAACGTGAATATAATAAAAAAAATAAAAAGGTCAGGTGAAAAACATCTGTGACTGTTTCCTCCTGCTCTTTGTGATGCTCGACAGACTCGTGTCTGATGACCTGAGGGACTCGGGTTTATAAAAGGGAAACAGGTGCAGAACTTTAAAACAAAAGGATGACCTCAGGTGGTTCTGATGAGTTCTGCTTTCTGGTTTTGCTACAGGAAATAATGTTGACCCTTTTAGAAAACAAATACAAATTATAAAACATCAGCTGATGTGAGTGTCGCGTCCTGCTGAATAAATGAAATAACTGCCATCAGACACGAGAAGCAGAAGCTCAGATCATCCAAAAAAAAGGACAAAAAATGATTTCATTTCGATTGTTTCTGTGCACAACTACACCTCCCCACATTTTCCATTTACTTCTAATTTATTTTACGCTCCAATAATAATTAAACTTTTGAATTTCTTTACTTTTTCAGTCAATTTTCAAATGCGGCTTTTAAATGTTGAAGTCGGGTTGAACAAAAATTGGATTTTAAGCAGAACTTAAACTAGAAATGCTAAAATATTTTGTATATTTCCATCAGCAGATGGAAGAACTTGGAAAATATAATCAAAACTTAAATTTTGGGAAAATAAACCTTAAAATCAAGGTTATCTGCATATTTTTGGAAAATCCAACTCATTTTTTTTTTTTACTTTAAAGGGACATTATGGAAGTGTGACAGCCAAAACGTGTAGAAATAATAAATGTCTTCTTCATACATTCTCCTGCAATGCCCTGGTCCTGTAGAATGAGCCCTGGCATTTTTACTGTGATTGCCTGTTTTTCTGTAAAATCACAGAAAAAGAGAGATGCTCGGGTCGAGCAGGCTGCTTCATGCGCGTTCACGCTCAGGCATCGCCCGTAGCATTTGCTATCCGTAGCTTTAGCAGCAGAGAGAGAGGCAGTGCCACGTTGTCGCTGTTCCTAACGCCTAGTGACAAAGCTAGCTACATTTCTGAGGACCCTTAGCTACTTTCTGTAGAACTTTCTTCTAGATATTTCCTGCAAATTAGCAACAAAATAGCCATTTTCACTCCGAACCGTTCTTTGAACGTTGTTTCAGCTGTCATCAACGATATAAAAGTTACAGATACAAAGGACGTTACTGGCGCTTTAGCTCACCTAGTAAGATGTCTGACTCTCATGCAGAGGACCTGGGTTTGATTCTGGGTGTGTACATAGTTCATTTAGAGTTTCTTTTTTACATTAGTGGTATATTTTTTTACAGTAAGATGCCCAAATTTTTATTTGAGACTCGCCGAATGGCATTGAATTCACAGATAAAAAAGATGTGGGTTCAACTTTCATTTTGGAACAATTTTTCAAGCAAAGGAAGGGAATGATCTGAGCATGCAGGAGGACTGACCCATCATAAACCTTTGTCGGCTGTGCTGAAGAGAAAGGTACAGAACCACATTATTTAATTAATTAGCTGCGTGTTCTCCTGTCCTCTGTCCTCCGGGTCACACACACACACACACACACACACACACACACACACGGGACTGTCTCAGCTGTTATTTTCGTTAAGGAGTGTGCACGTACAGCATGCGCGCCTCGTGCACGAGCCTACTATTGAAGCTGCCGTTACGCTTTTGGCCTGAGGGGGCGATCGCGAGCATAAAAATTCAAAAGTCCGTAAAGTCCCTTTAAAAATGAATAAGCTTTTAGTCCTTTCTATTCTGTATATGAACTTTGAAATACTATAAAAAGCTGTTTTATGAGTTATTGCAGCATTATTTTTAAACCAGCTGCAGAAACAATGAGGCTGAATTTGGTCGTAATTTAAAACTTCACAGCAATTTTTTTAGATTAAAAGTCTCAATTCATGCAGAATTACAGTTTTCTCGTGATAACACATTTTTTAGACATTAAATCTCATTTCATTAAAATACCGAAAAACACAAGAATCTGATGCCACTCAAACACAAAAGGAAAATGGTCTCATTGTTTGGAGTCAGACACTGGGAAAAGATTTTGCTGTTGCTTAACTTCCGTGAAAACAAGCAAAAGCAAAGTTGTTTGACAAGAAGATGCAGCAACGGACGAATGAATCGAAAGTTACTCCTGAATTTGGGGGGAGTAACTCAGATAAATACGCCGCTGCTGTAAGAACAGAAAACCTGCATGTCTTAGAGGCCAGCAGCTCTGTCCTCCCACAATCAGCTGTGTTCGTGGTCTAAAACATGCAGGAAACGTCCTGGAAGCTGACTGCAGCTCCCTCTTGTCAGCTCCACTCCACGGCTCCCTCCAACAGCGGGGATCGGACCAGCAACTGTGAAGTTGCAAGTCACGGGGTGGTGGTGTGAGTGACATTTCATTAACCCTGCAAAGAGTCATTTTAGCACTTACTGGCTCAAGAAATGTATTAATAAAAATGAAAAAGTTGCACGGTATGCCTTTAAAGCTAGGGTGGGCAATCCTGGTCCTCGAGGGCAATTATCCAGCAGGTTTTAGTTGTTTCCCTGCTCCAACACAGCTGATTCCTGGATGAATCACCTCTTCAGCAGATCATCAGGCTCTGTAGCAGCCTGTTAATCACCAGTAGATTCAAACCAGGTGTGTTTAAGCAGAGAAGCATTTAAAACCTGCTGGATAGCGGCCCTCGAGGACTGGGATTGGCCAGCCCTGCTTTAAAGGGAGACTTAGCAGTTCTGGCTTGCTTTTAGCACTCCCTAGTGTCCGTTTTGTAAAACCAAACGTGAAAGTTATCTCCTCTGTGCATTAGTCTTTTTAAAACCATAATCCAGGGCTATTCATTTCCGGGCCTCGAGGGCCAGTACCCAGCACGGTCTGGTTTTAACCCTGCTTCAACACACCTAATTTCAATCAGCAGGTGATTAACAGGCTTCTGCAGAGCCTGATGAGCTGCTGCACAGGTGTTCAACCACTGAATCTAGTGTGATGGACTAGAGAAACCACTCAAATGTGCAGGATACCGGCCCTCCAGGCCCGAAATTGAATCGCCCTGCCTTAATCTAACAGCTGAAATGTCTCCTCAGCCTTCATTATTGTCTACAGGAGCAAATCAGATGTGTTCACGATCTAAAACATGCTGGAAGCAGAATGCAGCACCAGGTATGTCAGTTCCACTTTAAGAAGTCCAACAGGGAGCAACCCGCCTCTCTTAAGTTGCAAGTGTGGAAATCTGGCCACATGGGCCAGTGGTGTCTGAGTGACATTTCACTAACCCTGAAAAGGATCATTTTAGCACATAGTGGCTCCAGAAAATGATTTTAAAATTTGAAGAAGTTGCATAGTATGGCTTTCAGATTAAGTCAGCTTCTCCACGTCCTGTATCTATGAATCTTTAAAGGAAGCTGTGATTGATGCTTGCAGAAAAACTGGGGCTAAAAAACAAGAAATACTTGTAATCCAGGTGGAATTAATCATCCCAGATTATCAGCTGGTAAAAACTACTTAAGAATTCGGGGGGTTGAATGAATTATGACACAGGTCGTATGTTTGGACGTATGATTTCTGTATCAGCACATGAAGCTTTCTGCTGATTGGATGCTTGCATCTTCATATCATTAGTTCCTACACCTACGGCTCTCCAGAGATACCCGCCACCATAAAGCTTTTAATGAAATTTAATTGCTTGGCAATCAATCTGTCGTTTATTGAACACCCCGGCCTTTAGCATGAGTGATTGATCTCAAACCGGACCAGGTTTCGTTTATCCATCTGTGAGGAGTGAGAACTGTTTGTTTTCACTCTGAGGCCGTTAACGTGGCGGTGCCGCTGTACGCCGTGGAGGACTGAAGCTGGTTGGTCTGTGCGTCTTCTGTCGGCTACTGTGTAGCAGCTTTTACCAAATCCTCCGTTCACTTTCTGTCCTTTTGTTGTTTGTTTTTATTTTTGTGGCTCAGGTTTGTAGATCCTGAAATTTTAAAAGTATCTCAATTTTTGGGAAGCTCTTACTATATATATATATATATATATATATATATATATATATATATATATATATATATATATATGTATATATATATATATATACATATATATATATATGTATATATATATATATATATATATATATATATATATATATATATATATATATATACCGTATATATAATATGTATATATGTATATGTATATATATATATATATAATATGTGTATATATACATATATGTGTGTGTATATATATATATATATATATATATATATATATATATATATATATATATATGGAACCAGTCATGAATTGTCCAAACTATTTTACTAGTGTATTTAAACTGAATATTTATAAGTACTAGTAATAAAATCTGATGATGTCAGCACTTGTTTCGTTTGACTTTTTTATTTGTAATTTGATTTGATTTAATCTAAATATGAAAATTCTGTCTTTTGTCAGCATGTCTGACACTTTGGTTTTTGCTAGAACCAGACGCTGGAATGCGTAGCGTTCCGTCTCGTGGCATCGTGTTTAGGCCCCGCCCCCCACAATGTAAACGAATGGGACATTTTCCAGATTAAAAAATGGAGTCGTGGTGGATGGCTGCTTATGCTGAGCCAGGATCCTCTGGAGGTTTCTTCCTGTTAAAAGGGAGTTTTCTTCTCCACTGTCGCTACATGCTTGCTTAGTATGAGGATTGCTGTAAAGACTCTGACGCTAGTCAGTGACTCGATGCAACCTGCTGGGTTCCTTATAAAGGAAACATTTTACTGATTGGCTTAATGAACTGACCTGCACTGCAGTGTTTACTGTGTGAAGGTCCTTGAGACGACTCGTCGTGATTTGGCGTTTTATAAATAAACTTGAATTGAATTGACTTGAATATAAAATATGCCTCATATATGTTTCCCAAGTATTCATTCATGTAGTTCTAAAAAATGGTAAATGGTCTGTATTTGATATAGCGCCTTCTAGAGTCCTGGAACCCCCCCAAGGCGCTTTACAACACAATCAGTCATTCACCCATTCACACACACATTCACACACTGGTGGGGATGAGCTACAATTTAGCCACAGCTGCCCTGGGCGCACTGACAGAGGCGAGGC